GCTGCCAGCGAATAGCTCACCTTGCCATTGAGCCCCACGTCAGCGTCGGCAGCGCTGACGGCTCCAACAAACACCGTGGGCACATTGTTCTCACGCACGTACATGGTGTACGACGTCTGGTTGAAGACGGGGGCGTTGTCATTGACATCCGAGATGTCCACGGTGAAGGTCTGCGTGCTCGTCAGAGGAGGCGACCCCGCGTCTGCCGCCGTCACCCTGAGGATGTAGCGAGCCGTCTCCTCGCGGTCCAGCGCGCTCACTGTCACCAGCTCATAGTAATTCTTATAGGCTGGCCGCAGCGAGAAGAAGCGCTGATCCTCGAGGCCACACGAGATCTTCCCGTTGGCCCCAGAATCCCGGTCCCTGACCGTAAACAGGGCAACCACCGTGCCGGGCGCTGTGTTCTCGGGGAGGGGACTGCTGAAGGAGCTGACCACCACCTCTGGGGCATTGTCATTCACATCCACCACCTCCACCAGCACTTTGCAGATGGCTGAGAGTCCCCCACCATCTGTGGCTCTCACACTCAGCTCGTGGCTTTGTGCTGCCTCATAGTCCAGAGGTTTTGTGAGTTTAATTTCCCCACTCATAGAGTCAATTGTGAATGGGCTGTCAGATTGACTCAATGGTTGGCTGAACGCATAAGTGATGTCTCCATTACTTCCTGTATCCCGATCGGCTGCAACCACTCTCAAAACCGCAGAGCCCTGTGGTGAGTTTTCCAAAACCTGACAAACATATGTTTTCTGAGTGAAGACAGGAGCATTGTCATTTACGTCTAGAACAATAATATTGACTTGGGTGGTCCCACTCCGTGGTGGAGAGCCCCCATCCACAGCAATGAGACTAAAACCCATCTCTTCATGCTCCTCTCTGTCTAGCGGCTTTTCCAAAACAAGTTCCACGCTTCTGTCATTCTCAATGTTAGTACCATAGAAGACACTGAAATATTCGTTCTTGGGAGAGATGCTATATGCCTGGACCATATTGCTGCCAATATCGAGATCCCGAGCTGCTTCCACTGGGAAACGGGTGCCAGGGTCGCTTCTTTCCACAATCTTAAAAGTGACTCGTTCCACAGGGAAAACAGGTGAATGGTCATTGATATCCTCCAGAGCCACCTCGACCCGAAAGAACTGCAGGGGGTTGGAGAGCAGCAGCTCGAAGGGGAGCATGCAGGTGGCGGACTGGCCGCACAGCTCCTCCCGGTCCAGCCTCCCCG